AGTTTTTAATCAAAATTGTTCCAGTAGCATTTCAGAGAAAAAGACTTTATGCCACAAATAATCACTCAATTCAATTTCATAGCATATCCAAATTTATCAATTTAAACCATTTATAAACATAACTGAGTTTATACATACATTTTCAATAGGCTAAAGTGAAATTTTGAACATTAAATTAAAACTATTTGCTTTTAACAAAACAAAAATCCAGATCTTAAATTCCAAACATCAAGAATCTTGCACAGTCACAATATTGATTCTGGCAACATGCCACATGTCTAACCTCAGCTGACCTGCCTCATTTGCATAATATATATGTCGGCTATCGTCTGTCTGGTCACACCACCATGTGTGTGGTGAGATAATCGCGTCAGTACACTTCACTCCTCCCAACACGGTTCTATATTTACATGCTGGGAGTGACATTATTACCGCACAGCTTGTCTCATTCAAAATATTTTCCTGAAGGCTAGTTTTCTGTAATACTCAAATCGTCCATATTGTTGTTACGTGTGGACATGTGGAGTGGATGTTTTCATGACTTGACAAATAAAGTGTTTGTGTTAGTGTTGTCATGTTTTAGTTTAAATATATTTTTTATTAATGTAGTACACATATTTACATGCCTTTTCTCTTTCATTTTATATACACCCCATTAAAAGTTTAGACTCACTAGTGTAAATACAGCCACTTACTAAAGTCAACTCTTCTAAACTAGATTTTGCAAAATTTTCATACTGTTTAAAGGTACTGTTTACACATGAACTGATGTATTGTAAAACGAATTTGTAACGTTGAAAAGATTATTGTCATGGGTTAAAAAAATGATGAAACAGAGTGAGAATTGGCGAATTTTTAACAAAATTTTACACCACAACACAGCTGTTCACATGCACGAAATTTGCACATGCTTTTTAGCAATTTAATGCATGATCCTCGTGCAATTCATCTGCATAAAGTTTGCAGTTGGTTCCCCAAAGTTAGTGGAGAAATTCATCTTTGATGCAACCTTATATATATATATACATAACATATAGTGAGTGCTTTAAGTGATTATAACTTTTGACGGGTAGTATATTATTGTAAGTTTGATTACATACTATTTGATTTTATTTTGTAAGATCTATGAAATCAGGCTTGTTACTTGGTATAACTAGTTCTTTTCTTGTTGTAATTAATATTTTAGTGCTGAATCCCCGTTACAGGTGGGGACAAGGAGCCAGGGATTTCCTTGCCGTCTTTGAGGAAAAGACAAAAGAAAGGATCCGGTTTCTTAACAAGACTGACACACAGACACAGACACACAGACACAGACACAGACACACACACACACACAAAGAAGAAAAAGAAAGAGAAGAATTACATACTGTGAAAACATGCAATACCAAAGATTCACATGATCAGTGATAATAAGGTTAAACCGAAATGTTTATCAAAATAAACTGTTTTTATATTGCCGCAATAAAAATTCAAATTACTGTCTTTTCGTCCATCTTTCAAAATGAATAATATAGCTTCAGTTTGTTCCTGTGTTTTTATTTGGACTATTCTATTATAATGTGTAGGTAACAGGTAGTAGATAATCTGCTCACTGAACCGTAAATGTTGTTGTTTTAAGGTGTCTGCGAACTGGCTGTCTGCGTAATGGGAGGACACCATAATAAGCTGCTGGTGTCAATACACACATGCATCTCAAGTAAAGCTAAGACTTCTCAAAGAGTGGATGGTACATAAACCACTTAACCTAGAATTTATTATGGTTAGACCTGCTTAAATATGTGTGATGCTCAACAGTATAGCTTTGTTAGAATGTGTTTAAACATTTTCAAGCTGATCTTACAATCCTCCAGGTTACTCTTGTAAATGAAAGATTTGGCTAATAACAGAATGTGATCAAATACATCATCTGTAACAATATTTTCCTCAAGGACAAACAGTACAAGTTCGTCCCCGTTCCTCCAAGCAATCGTAACACTACGACTGTCGTAAGTCTATGTTTAAGTATGGGAGTTACGATCTTCTTAGGTTTACGATTGCTTTGAGGAACAGGGCCCTGAACTAAAAGTCATGTTGTGAGAATGCGAACAATGTTCATTGTAATCCAAAAGCCACTGTGTTCTTTAATCTGATTGGTTGAAAAACATGATCGAATGGTATTCGATTCCAAGAAATTGCAAGAGAATTCGCTGCGTATTTATAAGTACAAACACTGCACACACCATTGTATTGTTGCGTCGTCTGAAGTGGTGATGTCATTCAAATCATATTGTGACATAAAGTGTGAATGACGTCACAAATGAGCAGATCCAGATGCTACCATGGTAGACAGTGGAAACAGCCGGATGATGACATTTCACTGCTGTACCCGTACCCTATGTCAATGAGTGCAGACACAAAAACGTGTGTGGACCTTTTAGTTTACTTTTGTGTTTAAAATGTCGATAAACATCATGTGTTGGCCAATATCCGGGTGTTATTGAGTATTTGAAGCACGGGAATAATTAATTTGAAACCTCCGTCTAATGCCATCAGTTCCAAGTGAATTCCCATATTTCAAATACTCAATAACACTGGAAATTGGCCAACACATGATGTTTATCTCCTAACTGAGCCATGATAACAATAAAGATATCCAAAAGGATTGACCTTCTTGACACTCCCAGAATAAATGAATGAACTGGAGTTTGTTTTTTCTAACTAATTCGTATTGTGCACAATTATAATACAGATGTCAGAATATTTACTTTAGAATTAATCTCATTGCATTTCTAAATTGCTGCCTCAAAACTGTCAAAAACGCTTTCTTCTACATGCACTAAATTTTCCACTGATGATGTGCTGGTATACTACTCAATTCAAAAGTATGTTCTAGATCATGATGGAAAAAATATGTGTTTGTCAATCCAAATGGGGACCAGTGTTTAACAGCTCAAACAGGGACCAGTTTTTAACAAACCAAACAGGGACCAGTCTTTAACAAACCAAACTGGGACCAGTGTTTAATAGTCCTTATGGTACCAGTGTTTAAGAAACCAAACAGGGACCAGTGTTTAACATACCAAACAGGGACCAGTGTTTAACATATCAAACAGAGGCCAGGGCTTAACAATCCAAACAGGGACCAGTGTATAACAAACCAAAAAGGGACCAGTGTTTAACAAACCAAACAGGGACCAGTGTTTAACAAACCAAACAGGGACCAGTCTTTAACAAACCAAACAGGGACCAGTGTTTAAAGGTCACATGCAACGTAAAACACAACTTTGCAGATTCTGATACCTTTCGGTATGGACTTACCGAAACTAAGCGTCAAAAATGCAAATTCAACTTATAAAGTTGAAAAATAACGCGATGAAAAAAGCGTGAAATCGAGTTCAAGCGTTTCACTAATTTTCCCCAGACTTTTCTGGGGAATACGGGTTTCAACAGCTGGGCTGCGCCCACAGCACGTGCGCAGTGAAATAGGTTCGCGCAGCTTGGAAGCGGGCTGTCTGGTGAAGGCTTTGGTGTGAGCTATTTTCATAATGTTTTGTTGATATCTCACAGGCGCGAGCTTTTTATATGTTATGACAGGAAATAAACTGTTTATATAATTTCAATTGTCTATTTCACCACACGTTCTTCTTACCGAGTCACGTTCTCAGTTCGATACTTAAAAGCAATGTCATTATTTAGCGTTGACACAATTTCTAACTGTGATATAGATATGTCGTTGTCACAGACAAAACTCAATGTCTTGTTTTATTGACACCTGTGTGTCTGCCTGCCTGTCTGCTAATGACAATATTCAATACACAACTGCGATCACTGACCACATGCAATTTGAACTTAACACCAATCAGGCTATACACCATAAACAAAACGCATTGATTTATGGCCCGAGTTCGGTCTCTGTCACATGATGTAATTACACAGACAGGCAGGTGTGATACTTGAACACATGACATGTTATGATGCCTGTTGATTGCAAAATGTTACACACAAAAAATGAGCATGTATTTACAAAACCCAACATCTCTATATATACACACACAACGAGCCGAGCAGGCGGCATCTGCTAATGAACCAGCCGTTACACTTGAGTGCACACCCACCCGCTCTGACTGGGTTCGGTATCCCGGCTGCTTCGTTTCGAGGGAAGTAAACCCAAGTACAAAATATTGCACTTTTGATTAGCGATTATACGCTTATAATTTTGTTCATATGTTTTTTCATAAACAGCAATGCATATTATATGTCATGAATAAGTGATAATTGTGTTTTAATTATGTTTGATTTTTTGGTTGCATGTGAGGGACCAGTGTTTAACAAACCAAACCAGGGGGACCAGTGTTTAACAAACCAAACAGGGACCAGTGTATAACAAACCAAAAGGGACCAGTTTAACAAACCACACAGGGAGACCAGTGTTTAACAAACCAAACAGGGACCAGTGTTTAACAAACCAAACAGGGACCAGTGTTTAACAAACCAAACAGGGACCAGTGTTTAACAAACCAAACAGGGACCAGTGTTTAACAAACCAAACAGGGACCAGTGTTTAACAAACCAAACAGGGACCAGTGTTTAACAAACCAAACAGGGACCAGTGTTTCACAACCCTCATCAGAGACATGATTCCTCCAGAACAAAGCCAAAAGTCAACTAACTGTCGGCAAGAGTCAATAGCTGTGACCATACTGGGAGGGAATACACGGAGATAAACCGTCCGTCCCAGTTTACAACCAGAAGCCAGGAAGGATATACTATCTGAACCACGTCTGTGTTCCATACCTGACCCCAAGTTCAAGTGACATTGAGTGACACTCAGTGGCGGTGTCTGACGAGGAGAGATCGCCACCAGCAATCATACCTCCTTGTCCTTGGACGTTATCTCCTCTCAAAACACTTTCACACTGTCACATATACACCAGAAGCGACCTCCTCCGTGGTGTAGTGGTTGGAGCGTCCACCCGGAGAGCAGAAGGTCGTGGGTTCGATCCCCGACCACGTCATACCAAAAGACGTTAAAACATGGTACTTGTTGGTCCCTGCCTGACGCTTGGCAGCATTAATGGGTACAACAATGACTGGTTGGCTCGGACTCATATATTTAGTTGAGGTAGATTGTATTTGAAATTGAGATTCATATCAATTGTTTTTAAGTTTGTAAAGAGTTGCAATAACTACAGAATAATTTAGTAGAATGATATATAGTATAGTGAGTGAGTGAGTGAGTATAGTTTTATACTGCCTTTAGCAATATTCCAGCAATATCACAGTAGGGGACACCAGAAATGTAGTCTGTCAGAACCATCATATTTCAGCAGTATCAACCAGTGAAGATCCAGGTTAAAATTGATTTCCAGTAACCTATGCTTGTTGTAAGAGGCGACTAATGGGATCAGGTGGTCAGGCTCGCTGACTTGTTTGAAACATGTCATCGTATCCCAATTGCGTAGATTGATGCGCATGCTGTTGATCACTGGATTGTCTGGTCCAGACTTGATTATTTAAAGACTGCCGCCATATAGCTGGAAGACTGCTGAGTGCGGAGTAAATACTAAAACTAAACTCACTCACTCAGCAATATCAGAATATCCAGAAATGAAGTAAAATAGTGTGGACTTCTGAAACAGTCTGTCAGGTCACAGAGTAGATTAACATACTGTCACAGAAATAAAGTTAGTTGTAAATTTCAGAATCTAAAGGAACCCTTACCAATCTGCGTGGACCAGAATAGGAAAAAAAATCAAATTTGGAAATAAAGGTGAGTGAGTAAGTGAGTTTAGTTTTACACTGAATTCATATTCCAGCTATATGACGGCGGTCTGTAAATCATCGAGTCTGGACCAGACAATCCAGTGACCAACAGCATGAGCATCGATCTGCGCAATTGGGAACTGATGACATGTGTCAACCAAGTCAGCGAGCCTGACCACCTGATCCCGTTAGTCGCCGCTTACCACAAACATGGGTAACTGAAGATCAATATTCTAACCCAGACCTTCACGGGTCTGAAAATACTGGCACATACAGGGACACACACACTCGAAACAGAAACAGAAACAGAAACAGAAACATGATAAAGCACTCACATGCAGGCATGCACTTACCTACACATACATGTATACACACACACAGGCACACACGAACGTGGCACAGGCACCTAACGCATCAACGCACAGGCACCCTTCCTGCATATGACGCACGCGCTCAAATACACTCATGCCCTTCCTGCATATGCCTTGCATGCATACGCACGCACGCACACACAAACATTAAAGGATGCTTAATGAAATGATCTGTAGGGCTACTGGAACAGCATTTGTATTCTATAACACTCTGTCAGGCGGTGGGGTAGCCAAGTGGTTAAAGCGTTCGCTCGTCACACCGAAGACTAGGGTTTAATAACCCACATAGGTACAATGTGTGAAGCCCATTTGTGGTGTCCCCTGCCGTGATATTGCTGGTATATTGCTAAAAGCAGCGTAAAACTAAACTCACTCACTCACTGTCAGAAAACGGTCCAAGGACTTGGTAGTAAACATCAGGAGAATGATCTGTTTTGTTAACAGACAGATAAGGAATTCTCCTACCTTCCCTAAATACAACCCACTATCTAAGTAACCACGACAACATGACATTCTGTAGTCACGCTCAAAGATAAGACGCATTCAGATTTTTTGAATGAAGTACCAAAGTTTTATGAGATACTAGTAGTCTTCAGGTCACCCGTTCAGAAAATGCTCTAAAAGAAAGGTCAAGGTTAAACTTAACCAAATAGAGTGAGTGAGTGGGTGGGTCAGCGAGTGGGTGGGTCGGTGGGTGGGTCAGTGAGTGGGTGGGTCGGTGAGTGAGTGAGTGAGTGAGTGAGTGAGTGAGTGAGTGAGTGAGTGAGTGAGTGAGTGAGTGAGTGAGTGAGTGAGTGAGTGAGTGAGTGAGTGAGTGAGTGAGTGAGTGAGTGAGTGAGTGAGTGAGTGTCTTACCAGTGGTTGAACAGACACTTCATGAAGACACATAATTAATCAGGCAACAAAACGTAATCTGACAATGCTCCATATATTTGGCTCCAAAACATGCAGGTTGTACTGGGGCAGTATACAGTCTATTCTACCCTGGAAAAGTGTAGCTGTGTTCACTTAGGTTTAAGCAGATAGTTCTTCAAAGAAAGACGATTTCTGTAATCATGTTCATCTTCTTGTCTTGGCATTTCAGACTATATTCCAGCCATTTTGCAAAACAAGGGTACAATGCTACTTAACTACTTTTACCAGAAAGAGTGAGTGAAGGAGTATGGTTTTACGGCACTAATGTTCCAGCAATATCACGACGGGGGACACCAGAAATCGGCTTCACATATTATACCCATGTGGGGAATCGAACCCGGGTCTTCAGCATGAAGAGCAGATGCTTTAACCACTAGGCTACCCCACCACCCCCATTCACTGGAAGTACCTACAGGAAAACTCTGTGAAGCACTAGACACACTTGTTGACAAAGGTGTACACATGTGTTGATGTCTTTGTGTGACATTATTTAGTTGGAGCGTAATATACAGACAAACTATGGATGAATAACTTCTATATTCAGGTGATGCGACGTTTCGATAAAGCTGACTATGGACCCTTGCACACATTTACACACATTTTCACACATTTACACACATCTACTCAAACTGACAAAACTTTTATATACGGACAAACCTTATGGATGAACAGCTTCTATATTCAGGTGATGCGACGTTTCGATAAAGCTGACATATGCACCCCTGCGCACATTTACACAAGTTTTCACACATCTACTCAAACTGACAAACCTTTTACATAAGGACCAACTTTATGGATGAACAATTTCTATATTCAGGTGATGCGACGATTCGATACAGATTCTTGTTTCACTGAGAAGCAAGTATCCGACAATGTATTGAAACATTGCAAGTGTGTGTGTGATGTGTGTAAGTGTGTGTGTGTGTGTGTGTGTGTGTGTGTGTGTGAGTGCGTGTATGTCCCATGCACGAGTGCGCGTGCATAAATAGGAGTGAGTGAGTGTGTGTCTGTGTGCGTGTAAACATGGCAAGAAAAATTTGACACATGTTCTTCTGTTACAGCCCATTCACATATAGTGTAGGTTGGACATTATATTAACTTATTTGCAGTATGTCAGTAAAAGCCTACACTTAAATGACAATTAAATTTAAAGCTGATTTACAAGAGCATCACCCAAGTCACCCTACATCAGACAATACTGGGATGGTGTATAAGTGGTTTTGGCTCAGGTGTAAATGTCTGGCACAAAAGTTAGTTTTAAGGGAAATAATATGAGTGAAATAGAGCCTAGTTTTGTAATCATTCTGAGTTGTAGCTTTCGCCGCTTTTCACGGCGGCCCTTCAAGTGTGGATAGTGACTGGGAACCATCACATGTCTTGGTGGCAGCCATGTTTGAGCTCTATCATATGGATAGTCAAGGCATGCCGAGAAATAGAGAAGGTTTGTTTGGGATGGTTTGGTTAACCTAAATTAGACAGGCGGAAGTAATGTAAGAGTTGGTTTGAACAGGACTATTGTCTGTTTGTTTGTTGTTTTACGCCACACTCAGCAATATTCCAGCTATATGGTGGCAGTCTGTAAATAATCGAGTCTGAACCAGACAATTCAGTGATCAACAACAGGAGCATCGATCTACGAAATTGGAATATGACGGTATCTGTCAACCAAGTTACAGAGCCTGACCACCCGATCCCATTAGTTGCCTCTTATGACAAGCAAGGGTTGCTGAAGACCAATTCTAACCTGGATCTTCACAGAGGGGGACAAGCAAGGCTTCCTGAAGACCACTTCTAACCTGGATCTTCTCAGGAAAGGGGCAGAAGTGTGTAGGCTTTTGTCTAATCTCATGAAGGTTTTGCCCCTAAATCTTTGTTTCTCAATGAACTTCAAATTAATTTCATTGATTTTTGTATCATTTCTAGAACTAGAAGTTAAAACCTGACCCTGAAGATTACAGAAGATGCAGAACAAGTGAATGAAGAGAGATGGAAGTCACATGATCGACCGGAACATGATTCATGCAATGCATGAGCTACCTGTGACCATCTACAACAATAGATAGAGCTGGGTGAATTCGTATGAAGTGTTTAAAGAGGATGAAAACTTTGTGCCTTGTCATTTCCTCTCCATAGTCGTAAGAACAAGAGGAGGTACATAACCTAAAAAAAGGTGAAGTTTTACAAATTACTGCTCAAGGAAAGGGAATCGAACCCGGGTGTTCGGCATGACGAGCGAACGCCTTAACCACTAGGCTACCCCAGCCCACTCAAGGATAGAACACACAATGTAACTAAAAACATACAGGACAAAATGTTGAAGGTTGACTGTTCTGGATAAATATTGTTGTGTCCCACTTCAAATAATTTCTAAATTGTAAATCTTTCTTTTATTAATTTATACCAATATCCATCAGCTGCATTTGAATCTCAGTGTGAACAGAAATCTAACTAAATATTTCATACTCTTTCACACACCCTTCTGCTAAATTTTTTAAGTTTCATGCTGAGAAAAAGGAAAATTTCTGCACTAAAGCCACATGTAGTGACCCTTGGATATGTCTGTGATCTTGAGGAAATAAAATGGTTCTTTACCTCGGGAGTAGCATAGTTCTTGTTGAACTGAGACACAGAGAACATACGGATCTGGTCACCCATCTCCTCTCGGGTCTCGATAGCACGTTTCACCAGCCACTGAAACATGAGTGAGTGAGTTTAGTTTTACACCGCTTTTGGCAACATTCCAGCAATATAATGGCAGGTGACAATGAGATGGGCTTCACAAATTGGGGAATCAAAGCCAGGTCTTTGGTGTGACGAGCAAATGCTTTAACAATTAGGCTACCCATCACCCCCATTGCAACAGGAGTGAGTTTTAGTATTGTGCTGCTTTTAGCAATATTCCAGCAATATCACAGTGGGGTACACCAGAACGCTGCAACATGAGGTAGCCGTATAAGTATTAGTGTAGTCGCCAACACTTTAAGGCAGTTTTAAGGATCGCAAGTTACAAAACCTTTGTACTAAAGTATCATGCACTTCAATATACATTTTAAAAGAGTTACAATCATCTGAGCTCTGAGATATCCTATACATATGTCAGATTTGAATTACAATCATCTTAGCGCTAAATTCTCCTGTAATTTAAGTCAATTTTAAAGAACAGGAGATGCAATCATTTTAGAGCTAAGATATCCTACATTTCAAGTTAATTTTAATGAACAAGATTAACATTCATCTCAGTGATAAGATTTCATAATTTAAGTTTATTTTAAAGAATAGGAGATAAAGTTATCCTAGTGCTAAGATCACCCATGCTTTAAATCAGTTTTATACTACTGGTGTTAAATCATCCTAGTGCTAAGATCACCCATGCTTTAAATCAGCTTATACAACTGGTGTTAAATCACCTAGTGCTAAGATCACCCATGCTTTAAATCAGTTTTATACAACTGGTGTTAAATCATCCTAGTGCTAAGATCACCCATGCTTTAAATCAGTTTTATACAACTGGTGTTAAATCATTCTAGTGCTAAGATCACCCATGCTTTAAGTCAGTTTTATACAACTGGTGCTAAATCATCCTAGTGCTAAGATCACCCATGCTTTAAATCAATTTTATACAACTGGTGTTAAATCATCCTAGTGCTAAGATCACCCATGCTTTAAATCAGCTTATACAACTGGTGTTAAATCACCCTAGTGCTAAGATCACCCACGCTTCAAATCAGTTTTATACAACTGGTGTTAAATCATCCTAGTGCTAAGATCACCCATGCTTCAAATCAGTTTTGTACAACTGGAGTTAAATCATCCTAGTGCTAAGATCACCCATGCTTTAAATCAGTTTTATACAACTGGTGTTAAATCATTCTAGTGCTAAGATCAACCATGCTTTAAGTCAGTTTTATACAACTGGTGTTAAATCATCCTAGTGCTAAGATCACCCATGCTTTAAATCAATTTTATACAACTGGTGTTAAATCATTCTAGTGCTAAGATCACCCACACTTCAAATCAGTTTTATACAACAGGTGTTAAATCATCCTAGTGCTAAGATCACCCATGCTTTAAGTCAGTTTTATACAACTGGTGTTAAATCATCCTAGTGCTAAGATCACCCATGCTTTAAATCAATTTTGTACAACTGGTGTTAAATCATCCTAGTGCTAAGATCAACCATGCTTTAAATCAGTTTTATACAACTAGTGTTAAATCATCCTAGTGCTAAGATCTCTGTGTCCAGGTACTCCTCTCTGTTCACTACATCATACCCATTTATCTGCCTTTGAGGAATCTATATTTGTGAACTTTAATGAACAGAGTTGATACGCAGAGACTTTCATCACTTATCCCAACCTTCAGAAGAATAACGCACCTGTACAACCGGGTATATGTGAATAAAGTCCAGGCCTTGAATCTGATGAGGCTCGATACGATGTGGACACTTCATCTTTGGTAATACAGCCACGATCTTCTCTGTTAGAGCTCTGTGAAGAAGACCATCAAGATGCTTCAGAACTGCCTTGAAATTGTTTTGATGCAGGGGTGAGAATGGGTATGAGAGAGAAAAAATGACCCGGGGTCTTGCGGGCCACAGGGTTAAGATGATTCACAAGAACCGGGTTGATCCCAGTGTGTGTCAAACCCACAGGAATTTGCTAAAAGCGTAAAAAATTCTCATTGTTTTGAAATTAGAAAAAAAATTTGATTCATAAAACAGAATTATCATCTATTAAACACCTAAGGCTGATAACACCTCTGATAAGTCAGGAAATCCCTTGCAACACAAATAAAAGATACATGTCTTTGTCTTGATAAACAGACTTTGCCTATAATGACTCACTCTGACTTCCGAGAAAATCCCCCAAATTCGAGCAGACAAATGCCTTAAAAAAAGGTAAATTTACTGATTTCTTAATAATTTGGATTGGAATTATTTCCAAACACATTTTAAAATGAGGCTTTTCATTCTTTACAAATTTTCTATGCAACTGGGATGACATGGTCAACCAACCGTTTGCCCTGAGCCTGACTGCTTGATCCTATCAATAGCCTCTTAGGCTCTTATGGCAAAGCATGGCTTGCTGAAGATGGATTTTAATATGGATCTTCATGGGTATTATTACAAAGCAACCCAACAAGAAGACATCAAAATGCACCCTCATTTGACAAGGCCTGTATCCACTTTGCTAGTCAAGTGGCTTGTAAAGTTTCTCATTGATTAGGTTATTGATTATTGATCACTTGCTCAACAGGTAAAAATGTGTAGATTGACTTATTTGGGATAATTAAAGCACCTGGCATCTTATGCAGGATATACACAAAACTGCAATGTACAAGTTGTGATTATATCCTAAAATAGTGATCTTCAAGTGAATACATGTGGATTTTGACAGTTTGATCTCACAAGATTTAATCAATTCTGCACCATCTACCACTAGTGTAGACAGCACTATTGCCGACAATATTCAAGTCATATCATTGCAATCATATCCTGTATCAACTGAATATTTATAGAGTGAGTGAGTATGGTTTTATGCTGCTTTTATCAATATTCCAGCAATATCACGTCAGGGGACACCAGGAATGGGCTTCACACATTGTACCCACGTCTTTGAAATGAAACCACTTGGTACTTACAATGTATATTAATGCAGACTTGTTCTCGTCACTATATGGCTGGAATAATGCCGATGTGACGTAAAGCCCAACTCAACTCAACTCAACTCAATTGTACCCACGTGGGCATTCGGCATGACGAGTGAACATTTTAACTACTTTGCTACCCCACCACCCTTGAATATTTATAGAAGAGATATGAGTGGCGCAACTTACATTTTCTGACCAATCGTTGAGTTTTCTTGAAACAGCAGGTCCACATCGACATCAAAGTTGCAGGTGGTGATACACCACGTCATGCCACCAACCACCTGTCACAACAACAAAGACACATGACATCATGACATTACATTTTTCTAGTGTGTCAGTGTATATATCGAATATTGCTTGGAAACGGAAATTAAAATCAATAAAATATTTATGCATATGTTTAGATTTGATCGTATGCTTTTACTTATGTCTTCCTTGATGATCTCAATATGTGCCATTGATGACACACTGTCAGCTGGTAACCACAAAGCTGTCTCAAGCCTCAATTCTCTTCATATTCTATCCTTACTTTCAAATTCTTCTGATAATCATGCAATATCAGGTTTCACTGAAGATATACACAGTGCATGTTTTTATTATTTCCATTTGGAGAATAGTTGGCCTCAGATTTTTCGACTTCAATGAAATCATGTTGTTAGTTTTTATATTTACTTGAGTGAGAAGCTTGCATGCATCATGCACTTGAGTCAAAAAGTGCACTTTAGTAAAAAGATGGGTATTTTTCATACATCAACAGTATTATACAAATATGTAGGCTATTCAATGTTCTGGGCAAATACTCTGCAATGACCTAGTGCAAAGACATGACATATAAACATGGGCAAAGCAACATCCCTACAGTAATTCAGACAGACAAAATAAGACATATAAAATATATAAGTCCGCCACACCTTGTCAAAGGGAGAAAGCCCCTTGATTCTGGCTCTGAAATACCCTGCAGCAAGGAGCAACTCAATCGTCTGTTGTAGTTTAACATTTTGCTCCTCATCTTCCCTGGTCTCAACCTGCAAGGAGGTGAAGATTAGATCATTTAAAAAATACCAATCCAAGAGAGAGAGAGAGAGATTTTACATTACATCAACTTGGTGGCTTTTACATTGAGAATATGGCAATCTCACATTTCTTTAATACACAAGAGAAAAAGCAAAACCGTAGAAACGTTGTGATAGTTTTTTTACGCTGTCTGTTCAAAGCAGTAGACAGCAGACAGTGTATGTGGGTGCATTTACAGTAGATAACGATATTCATATGTTGGGGACTGCTTTAAACCACGCCCCTTTTCAAGGCGACATATGATCAATGTTTTGGTTGCCATATTTTATTCTGAATGTATTGTTGTTGGATTGTACGATCATGACATACTAGATGTAATTGTTTGGTTAAGAAATACCTCAACTTCTCGACCGTCTGCATCTAATTGAGTGGGAGGGAATTTTGTTGAGCCTGTTCTAGGCCTTCCTGCAAAGATGCTACCACCAGGACTGGGCGCAGCCATTTTGAAGAATAGTTAATCATGTGACCAATCGTCTTCGGGCAGAATCGGCAGTTTTCGATGTAAACAAATATATGACCCGGAAGTAATTAGGAGCGTCTGCGACCCCATGAAAGCGCGCATTTTTCGATCTCCTGAAGTTTGATTGGCTGATTGACTGACCGAGAATGTTACCGACCGCGTGACCCCATTCAAAGGAATGAACACGTGGTGACGTAGCTGAATATGATTGGTTAACACTCGTCAGGCGAGTGCGATGGTGTGATGCTCGTCTTACGATTCAACACCGTGCGATTGTGCCGGTAGTATAGTATTTTACTGTTTGGACAACAATTGCTTGACATAATATCGTAGTCTGGCAGTTGGAACGCTTCACGCACGCTTAGGTGAGTTTAGTATGCTGTGTAAGGAATAACAGATTTATATATGAACTGCTGTATTTTCTTGAAGCAAAGACACTTTCATTGGTGTTGATGTTCTGTTCGTCAGCTGATCACGGAATCGCTGCATGCATTTGGCATGTCTTATAGACTGGTGGACTTTAGACCCTGGGATATATTTAGCCGTTTTCAGCAGAGTTCACAGTATTCTGATTTCTATCGATATTAGGTTAGTATTTGGACTTAAAAGAGCTATAATTGCATATTAATTTTCAGTTTACGCATGTAAATCTAAATGCTGATAACATCGCATTTTGACAGATCTTCCAAACTTCGCTGTGACGTAAGATAACGTAATAGCCTAAATATATTTTGTCGACGATCGTTCACCAGAGCTGTTCCTGTTTCTTAAATAAATGTTCATTTTCAGTGTAAGAAAACACTTACTAACTAACTGTTAGGCCCAGCCTAATACTTTAATTCTGCACAAACGTCGTGACAGGTTGTAACACAAGACACTATCGTCACGACCATGATAACAGACTGTGCAAGCCGAATATGTAGTGAAATTTAAACATAGCCGTTTTAATCGTTTTGTGTAGCTTTAAATTACTTATTTATGACATATATTTATAATTCTTTATTTTGTATGAACATATATTTTGTCTTCCCCTCCAGGTATTCCAATATGGCTACACTGCAGCAGTTGATTATCCGTGGGACTGTGTTATTTAGTATTGGAGTATTCTTTGCACTTGTTCTAAATTTATTGCAAGTTCAACGTCAAGTTACAGTTTTTCCCCCTAGAGGTTCTAGCCAGTCTTTTCTCTTCGGCATGGTGGGTGCCTCCTTCTTGTGGAACAGCAGCAGGTGAGAACTTACAAAGATGGAAGATACATGTTTGGGGCCTATAATATCAACACAATGAAGCAGTGGTAGAATAAAATGATTAATAATAATACTTACTAACTATGAATTATTATGTCAGAGGTTTTGTATTTTGAAATCTGCGGTTTTGGTATTAGACTAACAGAAATTGAAAATGCACCAGCAATAGAAGAATCCTCCTATCCTATTCCTAAAGAAATCTCATGTGGCTTGGAAAATATCTCATGAACTATTTTATGATCAATCATTGGTTTTTGTGACAGTCTGCGACTTTGGCCACTATTTTAAAGATGGTTGAAAAACTCCTCTAACTTACTAAAAATACAGTGTAAAAAAATCCCAAAGACATGTACTCAAGCAAGAATGGTTTTGACACATACTGTCCTAATTATCATCATATGATGAAGTGGGACAAATGTCTGAGTCCGCACAATGAAACTTTCACATAAACCATAAAACAACCCAGTTAATATCATAAAGTAATTACTAAATTATGATAGTTGTATACTCGGAACATTTATGTTTTCAAAATAATCTTGAATGTGAATTGTGCAGGGTTCATAACAAATGTCTGTAATTATATCAGCTGCAGCATGGAATTGATTACGGAATTACATGAAAAGTTAAATTAGGATACAAATTTATGGTTTAGCTGGAATTTTTTCAAGCATGGGATTAACTGATTTTTCATTTGGGTTTGTTTTATTTTTTCAGCCGTGATAGGCTTGCTGTATCCTTGTCTTGACCACAAGCTTGGGGAGACTCCTTGCTTCAAGCGGGAATGGTCAAGTGTGATGCGATGTGTAGCAGTCTTTGTTGGAATCAACCATGCAAGTGCAGTATCCTTTGATGAGAACACATCACTCTTGTTTTCACCTGCATAATGTAATGATTAATGTGGTAAAGATTGTGAAAAATGGTATTAATATGGTTAAGAAATTGGCAGACAACATTTTCACTGTTTCAAATGATGGCAAAAACAAAGACAGTGAAACCTGTCTAAACTGGCACCCCATTGGACCGAAATAGAATGCTGGTTAAGACAGGGTGCCGGATTAGACAATTTATATCGTTGTAAAATGGCAGGACCAAAATATTTTGCCGGTTTTGACAGTGTGCTGGATTAGACAGGTGCCAGTGTTGGCAGGTTACACTGTATGACTAAAGTGGATGTGCCAGATTAAGATATCGCGCCTAATTAAGTGCTAACATGTTTGTGTTTGAAGTGTCCTGTTTTTCCACAAAAAGCTCTATCAGTGCAAAATAGTGACTGAGTGAGTTTAGTTTTTATGCCACTATTAGCAATATTCCAGCAATATCATGGCTTCACAATTCCAGAAATGGGCTTTGCGCATTGTATCCATGTGGAGAATCGAACAAGGGTGTTTGGCGTGATTAGCAAACACTTTAACCACTAGGCTACCAGTGCTAATGTGTATTACCAACTACTTGACTTGACTAATGATGTCCATGCTTAGCAACATTGTCTTAGAACTCATGGCTCAGACACCTGTGTTTGTAAGCATTTTGTTCCCGAGCTTTGTATTTTGCATTGTTTGTTGTTCCTTAACTTGATACAGAAAATTGACTTTGCCAACAACCTGCAGCTTTCTCTGTCACTTGCTGCAATGTCTATTGGTCTCTGGTGGTTGTTTGACCGGTCCAGAAGTGGATTTGGACTGGGGGTGGCCATTGCAGTGCTTGCAACATTTGTAGCTCAACTTCTAGTCTATAATGGAGTTTATAGGTGAGTTAAAGGACAAAATAATTTACATTCATCATTTTCATCAAATTCATGGTATGTCCACGTATGACTATCAACAAGATTGTGTCTGTTCAAATAAGCTTATGGTGACGTGGCACTCAAAAAAGTTTCAGTTCTTGTTCAAATTTCAGTCAATATGAACAGGCATTAGTCATGTAAAGAAACTGCATGTTAAAACTTTGGTGGCCTTTAACTCTAATTCCAAGTTTGTTTTGGTGCTTAGTTTATTTTGAGGTGAATGAGTATGGTTTTACACCACTTTTAGCAATATTGAAATACACAATGCCATTTTAGAAAGTGGTCAAATCTAACATGTTATATTTGGGATTACACTTTCTTAGTAAAGTACAGATTCTAGTACTTTTTGGGGTTGAGTCCCATCTGGGACTCGAACCCTCACCCTCAGAGTCAGGCACCTAATCCTGGATGGACTCAACCCAAAAAAGTACTAGAATCTGTACACAAAGTCCCAGTCTAGACTACCAGTTGTCTGACTTCAATTTTTATGGAAGCCGTGGTGGCTGAGCAGTCAAGGCGTGTGACTTTGTGTGCTGGCGATTAGGTGCCTGACTCTGAGGGTCAACCCCAAAAAGAACTAGAATCTGTATTTTACTTTGAAAGTGTAATCCCAAACATAACATATGTAACATTTAGCAATATTGCAGCAATATCATGGCGGGGGACACCGGAAATGGGCTTCACATTGTACCCATTGAATCGAACTGGGGTCATCAGCGTGTAATGACACTTTAACCATTAGTCTAACCATTAAGCCTCTTGAGTCAGGTGAACCATGTAAACTGAATGTGAAAAGATGACAATAAAATAACATACAAATGCAGTACTCTTCCTCCTGTCTATTGTTCACTGATGATAGTGTTGGTGTTAAATATTTTTAATTGGATTGTTATGTTTTTTCCAGGTACACAGAGCCAGATTTCCTGTTCGTGAGGTCATGGCTGCCATGTGTATTTTTCTCGGGCGGAGTAACGATGGGCAATATTGGACGACAACTTGCAATAGTAAGTAGTCGTTGGATTTTAAAGTTTTGATGTATTTGTCTTTGTTCATGCACTCATAGTGTGCAATGAAATTTGAAAAAATATGTTCAAGACAGGAGTTTGCTTCAAACAAACCTCATGGCTAACTGAAATCTTCATGTATGTCTGCTTGAGTGTGTTTGTTTTATCTACATTGTTTTACCTGGATTTGCTTAATTAAATTGTTTCCTTAATCCATTATGATTTTGAGGCTGTGATGCTGAGATTAAATCAGATGAAATGTCAAAGATAAAAAGTTTCCGTTTATGGCAGATTGTATATTGCATTACTCTTGCTTTTGACCAGCAGACACCCATAGCAGGAGTATTTCATGTTATCAGTACCTTGCTACTATTACTGTCAAAGTATTGTTGAAGAGATAGGGAGTGAATGAATTTGGTTTTACTCCTTTTTTGAAAATATTTCAGCAATCAAATGGCAGGGAACACTAGAAATGGGCTTCACACATTTTGCCCATGTGGCGAATCGAAGCCAGGTCTTTGGTGTGATGAGCGAACGCTTTAACCTCCACCCCTGTTAAGAGATAGGGGCAGTATAGTAGAACAGTGGTTTGAGGTTCACTCATCATGCTGAAGACCTCGGTTTGATTCCCTGCATAGGTATTGTGTGTGAAGCCCATTTCTGGTGTTCCCAGCTATGATATTGTGGAATATTGCTAAAAGCGGCACTTGAAGAGATAACATTGATACCATGGATAAGTTCCCATTTGTGTCTGTTTCTGATGCTGCTACTGTTTTATTACTCCAGTTGTGGAACATAAAGAATTCATTCATTTCAGGATGACAGCAAACAAAAGGAAGAGTGAACTGTTGTCCGGAATCTCGTGAGGTTTAAATTCTCCTGATGACCAACTCAGTGACTTATCTCTGCTGATGGACCATCATGCACTGTTCGTGTGATATGAACACTATCTCAAGCTGTCAGCCTTGACTGACAGGTATCGCCATAGAAACGTATAGGTGGCATAATTCACCAGACAGCTGTGTCGGTTGTCAGCGGATCAAAGGGTCGAGGCTGTCCTAATGTGAAGCATCGACGGTATGTCAATCATTGTGATGCAGAGTACACCACAACTCTTCAGTACAGATAAATGGCTTGGCTTCATCCAATTTTCCGTGTGATGTTGCAAATGGAAGATATAAGATCATACATTTCTAAGACTCTTTCTTAAGTTTAAAGAGCACTGAACTAGAGAGCATGTGTACAATCATCAAATTAGCTTTTAAGACATGTCATGATATGTTATTTTGTCATATTCATCTATCATGTTCATCTGTTCATTGGTTTTCAAAATGAAAGGAGCCCATGAGGTCATCTTTGGTATTTGAATTTAAGAATCCCAGGATACAAAGTGTATGAAATTTGAACAAAATCACATTAAATTGGCATGCTCCTAAACATTAAAACTGCATTTTTCTAGAAATCCGAAATGTGCCGATAAATAAAAGGCAAACAATAATTATATGGACTGTGTACTGGATATATAAATTATTGCTGTTGTTCAGTTACAGTTAGTTTTATTCCAGTTTTAACATAGATTATCAAAACTCTTTGTGTTAATAGTTTTAGTTATAATATGTTGACGTGTGGCAGCATATGAGACAGTTTCTGATATGCTTTCCACTATGTCATTGGAAAAATCAGTTTGGGATTGAAAAATTGTAGCTACGATAACTGGATAAGTTTGTTCTTGTTCCTCTTAGTAACCGTATGTCATGAAATCCATGATATTTGAAACACTGTTTCACTGGCTGAATTCAGCACACACAAATGCCATTCCATGGTGACTGCATATGGCAAATGTAAAAAGTGACATATTTCAACTATTATATAATTATAATACATGTAGTTGAATTACAGATATGTATGCAAGTAATTGTGTAATTTATTCTGTGTTAAAGGTTTGGTGACATGGCTTGGAAGTTTTTATGTCCGAGGATAGGGAAAAATAGTTTCTTCCATTCTGCCATTAATCTGCAGTATCTTGTCAACTGTCTTGCTTTGTTTCACTTTCTGATTTTGTTGGAGAGAAAAATTGTACAAGATTTATGTTGTTTACATTGATCTCTAAAACTGAAGGACTTACTGAGATTGCACTCAAAGGGACACAACCCTGCCTCAAATTGTATTCAAAGGGATGTAACTCTACCACTAAAAGTTGTCAGGTCTAAAAACCATGCAATAGGGCAACAGTTTGTGCAATATATTAAGCTGATTGGATTTATCTTGTAAATAACAACCTGTCTACATGTGATATCAAAATTTGATGGAACTTACAGGTTTGAATTAAATTACATCACCCTTTCATTGTTTGATACTCATTCCATAGTATATCAGGTTTTGGTGTGAATGTTGAAATTTGAAATTTGTTGATAAAAAGTGTCACATGTTTGTATCATCTATGAGTGATCATGGTTATTGCAATGGGCATCGTAAGTAGGCCCGATTTATACCCATTTATTCATTTATTTATTTTTATTTTGTATTTTTTCCCAAATAAATAAAAATATAATTAAAAATCAAAATCGAAAACCTTTGGGAGTTATTGCCAAAGATAGAAACACAAGAATCTCACAGTTGCAAAGATTTGAACCATTTCATTGGATTTTTGGAAAGGTAACATAATTTGTTTCTGTCTGGTGTTTGGTCCATTTTAAACCAAAAGAGGTAACACCATATGCCAACCTTAATACACCCACTGTTCCCTAATAAACTATGTTAGGCCAGATTCCCTCAAATCTGAAACATAATGATTTTACACTCCTCTTGCTGTTAACTGGTACTGATAGTTCCAGGTGCATTCATAATAGAACCCTGTTAATCATGACAACTACTGACTGGAATCGTCCAAATGTCCAGTTCACAAGCTGCACAGTAAGTCTTTTTGAACACTGACAATCTGGAATGGATATTTTGGACTTGTATCATTGAATAGGAATATGAATGTCTGGAGGGGATCTGGAGTGACGTAGTATCACTGCACGTTAGCAAGGAAACAGTGGAGTTACTCGTTTTTTCCCCGTTTTTATAAAATCAAATGTCGATGATGTTTTTGATGATGCTCATATGCATGATACAGAGAGAATGTTTTGTTGTGTATGTCAGGTGTGTGATGCACCAGTGTGTATTTAAATACCTTGTATGTACATATGTAAATATTTGTAAGTAAATCTTGCCATGAATAATTATGTTCATCCGGGGCAAATAAATATGACCACAATTCCAACAGGCTGTTTGTCTTTTCACTGAGTTACTTGTTGAGTAGCCAGATTCACAGAGAATTTGCATTGGAGGTAGTTTCAGAGAATTGGCTGTTTATGTTTGTCATTTTGTGAACCAGTATGTTTATTGTTTGTTGTTACAGCCATGTTCCGGCAGTAACACCCACAGACACCATAATTGAAGTCAAACACTGGGAACTCCACTCAGTCTTTGGCATGACAATCAAACACCTACATATTTCAAAATATTCTGAAATTGTAAAATATTTAAAACATAATGTGTTACATTGTTACCCTTGTCGCTGTGGGGAAGCCTAGTGGTTAAAGTGTTTGCTCGTCACACTGAAGACCTGGGTTCAGTTCCCCACATAGGTACATTGTGTGAAGCCCATTTCTGGCGTTCCCGCCATGATATTGCTGGCATACTGCTAAAAGCAGCGTAAAACTAAACTCACTCATTGTGACAGTATGTTGCCTTGTGCCTGGCCAGGGAGTGGAAGGTCCGAGGCTCAAAGCCTCCTGGAAGATGGTACTTCTTGTTACCCTGCCTGATGCCTGGCGTTGGGATATAACAAGCTGGTCATCTTGAAAACTGCCGACCTCCAAAGCACAATTAATATACTGCATGTGAAAGGAGTATCCATGTTTTGCTTCAACAAGATGCATGATATCTGGTTAGGCTAGCACTATAGAACAAGTATAAGTCTGGATTAGTATAACCAGTGAGCAAATATAGGTTTTACCTGCTTTCGCAATATTTAAACAATAGCACATGGAATGGGATTCACACAATGGTACCCTTGTTGGGAATTCTTGAGCACACGCCTTTGCAAGTTACAATGTTGAATTCTACATTTTTTTGCAATTCACCTGTGGTGAGAAAGGCTTAAAAACAGGAGAACTGTATCTCCGTGTTTTGGGCTCTCAGAATTCACCCAGTCGTCATGTTCTCGAAACATGCGGGGTGGTAGCCTAGTGGTGTAAGCATCACGCTGAAGACCCGGGTGCGATTCCCCAAATGGGTACAATGTGTGAAGCCCATTTCTGATGTCCCACGCCATGATATTGCTGGAATATTGCTTATAGTGGCATAAAACTAAACTCATTCAAAACATGCAAGAGGTGGATAAATGGAGTGCCATGTGCCATGCACTGTAGGACATCTGCACGAGGGACACACAACATTCACCTTCGTCTCTGAATATATACTATTTAAATAGAAACAAATAATGTTGTCTCAACTGCAAAGGAGGTGAGAGATTCAGAACCTGAACCTCAGAAAATCTAGACTTGCTACATACAGAGAGCTACAGCATTGCAGAAAGGCCTGGGCAGAAGGGCAAATGATGCAGTTCGTGAGACACTCAGCATTATTCCAGCTATAGGCGGTCTCTGAGTCTGGACCAGACAATCCAGGGATCAACATCATGAGCATCGATCTACGCAATTGGGATACGATGACGTGTCAATCAAGTCAGTGAGTCTGACTACTCCTTAGTTGCCTTTTACGACGAGCATGTGTTGATGAAGACCAATTCTAACTCGGATCTTCACGGGTGATTGACTGACTTGTTGATATTTAAACAATTTCTAGTATATTTACTATTAAACATATTGTTGTGCATTGAGATCATGTGCTTTTGTTCTAAAAGAAAACGAACTTATCCTTTGAACAAAGCACAAAATGTCAGCCATCTAACCCACACACCCACTGAAGCTACCCGACATGGGTTAGTAGCGTTTGAAATACCTGTCTGCCTGGGACAGGTTATTTTCAACACGGACTGCCAGATTATCAAATTCACCTGTCCTATGGTCGGGTTAAAATTTAGATATGTATATACGAAGATAGTTTGGGGGCAGGTAAGTTTTGGTAAGAGCTGGCAAGGTTTTCATCTAACCAGCTTTGTGGTCTGGCTGAAATTTTAGGGAGTTTCATACCGAGGGGTTAGGCAGCTGACTTTGTGTGCTGGTGATTAGGAGCCTGACTGAGTGTTGGTTTGAATCCTAGATGTTACTCAACCCAACAAAAGTTCTAGAATCTGTACTTTACTGAGAAAGTGTAATCCCAAATCTGTTACATTTGACTACTTTCTTAAAAGGCAATGTGTATTTGGCTGCAAGGTTACATGCAAGTTCAGGCATTTGGTAGACACCACATACACTTAATCTCCATAATTGAACTCTCCATGACATCTTCTTTTTGTGGGTCCATTTTGGGACTACAGATCATCATCATCATCCCAGCTGAGAAACATCTTTAATATGAAAAATTCAAGACCAAAATCCCATTTGCAATTATTACACTATATTCAGAAATATACATTTACAAATATAAGGTGAACAGCTGGTAATAATTACACTGACCATGTTATCAATAAATCATCATCATCATCATCATTATCAAATGTATTGTATAAAACAGGTTAATATATCTCTGAACTAGCAGCTTCTAGTGCATCAGCAATGCTTATTACTGATGGAATTCAACACAAATAGAGTTCCATGTGTGAAATAGATCTGATGTTCATCCACCAGTATGACATCATTCCAATGGGCACGGGTGGGTGTTCGGCTTGTCCAAGAAGAACGCATGTGGGTCATGTTTCTTACAAGGTTAAGAATAGCTTTCACATGGTAACTGAATATTACAACATTTATTATTTCAACTTACAGGTCCATGGTTAAATAAATGTCATATATCACTGCATGTGGCTATCTTGAACTATAAAATGTCT